GAAGGGCTGAGGACTTCCCTCACGAGAGAGTTGGAGGGAAGTGTGTCCACACATGTACATACATAAAAACGGCCATACTGGGTTAGACCAAAGGTCTATCTAGCCCAGTATCCGATCATCTGACAGTGGCCAATGCCAGGTGCCCCAGAGGGAATGAACAAAACAAGTAATCATCAAGTGGTCCATCCCCTGTCACCCATTCCCAGCTTCTGGCAGTCAGAGGTTAGGGACACCACACAAGATACATATTTTCTCAATATTTTATAATAGCAACAAATGTGGAAGTTTGGGGGAGAAACACCTAAGGGCTGTCACATAATTGTTGTTTATGAGAAATATTTACAGACATTTCAACTAATACTTGTAGATTGTTTATACTTAGGTTTGGCAGAATTCAATTTTTCTACAATTAATATAGATTTTTATTTTAAATATTTTTTTTATTTTGTTTTTACAGTTGCTAGAAACTAAGCAGCTAAGGGGGGTGGCGGGGAGGAAAGGGTTGGGGCTAGGGTTAAGACAGCAGTGTGAGGTGGGCTTCAGGAATCTCACAGCACTGACAGTGGAGCCCAAGGCACCATGGCACAAGGTGCAGGGGAGGCTGTGATCCTGGCCAGGACTGCAAGAAGGAGGTCGAGGTATTGCTGAACAGTTCCTGCCTGGGCGTGACTCCTACACTCATGGCTGGTGAATGAGTGAATGAGCAGGGTTGTGACAGCAGAGGTGCAGAGGGCTCCCTGAATATCCGCGGTGCTGGTGACACCCTATTCCTGCAGGCACAAGGTGTGGGGAAAGGTCTGGTCTTTGCAGGACAGAGAAATGATCTCTGGCCAGGGCAGCAAGAAAGAGGAGGATGAGCCCCTGGCCGGGTGGGAAGCCACTCTGTTGCTGAATGGCTCCGTCCTCAAACAGTTCTCTTGGTTTCATCTCTAATTACATTTTCTAGCATTTTTACATAAGGATGCAAACTATTGGGGCATTCAAATTTCTTGACAACTTCAAATTCCTACTGCACTTCCCTAAAATAAAAATGTATTTCTCTTTGATCTTTCAATCCTTGGCTAATGATGACCTCTAGCACCCTATCATACTTCAGCAAATCCTAGAAAATTAAATAATATAGCAAACCTAATTCCTCCCTAAAATAGATTATCATAACATTGTGATAAATAAAATGGGGGGATGGGGAATAGCTCCCTTTCATGGACATCCATCCAGCCAGTAGCTATAAAATCCCCCTTAGTAGCTGTTCTCTAATTGCTCTATCTGTAAAGGGTTAAAAAGTCTCACTGCTATGCACAGGTAAAAGGTGGTGAGTGGGCACCTGGCCAAAAGAGCCAATGGGAAGGCTAGAACTTTTTAAAATTGAAAAAAAGACTCCCTTTTGTCTGTCTGTCTGTTGTTCTCCCGGAGAGGGGCAGATAGGGCAACAGCTATGCTGTAAGAATTTTGGGCCAGGTATGAAAAAATCATCAGTATCATACCTAGAAACTACTTATTTAAAAACCCCAGATAAGTAAGTAGATCAAGAAATGTCTAGGAAGACAGAATTAGGTTTATCCCTTTTATTTCGTTATGGCTTGTGGATTCCTCTGTGCTAACCCCAAGTGCTTTTGTTTTGCTTGCAACCTTTAAGATGGACCTCAGGAAAGCTATTCTTGGTGCTTAATCCTTGTAGTTGCACTTTTAAAATCTAGCAATAGCCTGAGTTCTGAGATGTATTTTCTTCCTTTTTTTTAATTAATAAAATTTACCTTTTTTAATAATAGAATTGGATTTTTATGTGTTAAGAGATTTGTGCACGTTGTTTAATTAGCTGGTGGCAACAGCTGATTTCTTTTTTTTTCTTTCTCAGCTCTTTCCCAGAATGGAGGGGGGTGAAAGGGCTTGAGGTATCCCACAGGAAGGAATTCCCAAGTGTGCCTTCCTGGGCTCTCAAAGGGTTCTGCACTTGGGTGGTGGCAGCATCTACCAATCCAAGGTCAGAGAGAATCTGTGACCTTGGGAGTTTAATCCAAGCTTGGAGTGGCCAGTATTAATTTTTAGAATCCTTGTAGGCTCCCACCTTCTGCACTCGAAGTACCAAAGTGCATTTCTGTTTGCTCTTTCAGCCCTTGGCTAATGATGACCTATAGCACCCAATCATAGTTCAGCAAATCCTAGAACATTAAATAATATAGCAAACCTATTTCCTCCCTAAAATAGATGATCAGAACATACATAATATAATATATGTAGTTAAGTAGCTTCTGTTCTAACTAGACCTGGCTGAAAATTTTCTGCCAGAACTTTTTTTTTTTTTTTTTTTGGTTGGAAAATGGTTATTTGACTGAATCAAAAGTTTCAAGAGAAACCAGGCAGGCAAGCTGATTGCCTGCTTTCCCTGACTCCCTTGGCTGTTTGGCAGTCTGGGCAGACAGTCTGCCAGGAGGCTGCTGGGGAGACTGGAGAGCTGGACAGCCTGCCTGCTCACCCTCCAGGCAAATAGCTGATAAGCCAAAAAAATCCATTTTGGTTCTCCCCTAATAGAATTTTCTCTCTTTTCTTTCTGTGAAAAATGTTGAGGTTTTTTTTTTTCATTTCAATTCAGATTTTTATTTTTTTCCCCAAAATCTCAACTTTTTTCATGGAATGGAAAATGCTGTTCCCACATATATCTAGTTGTAAGCCTCCAAAGTATGATGACTTCCATAGATCTGTACAATATAACAACCATCACCAAAGACTTGCTTCTCTTAATTTTAGTTTTAAAATAACTAAAGTTCTTTTCACAGATAATGGTGAGAAAGCTATCATGTCAGCTGTATTATTATTTGTTTTGGGTTCTGTGTTAGATATGTATTAAGAGATGGGCAGGTTCGGTTGTGAGGCAGAGCATGTCAATGACTCCCTACTTCAACATACTTAAACTAGACCCAAGTTCTGTGACACTGCTGTATTTCCTAAGGTATTCTACATAAATTATTGTCCCTTCAAAGTACAGAGCTCGGCATTTTGGGGCCAGCAATACAAGGGGCATATGTTTCAAATTATTCTCCTATGCATGTTAGGCAGATTAACTGTGATGGTGAAAATTAATAGGGACTTGAGTCATGCTAGGTATCCTGACTGTAGCGATATTTAATACATATATTTTTCTTTATTACCACCATAAACTTTATGCCTGTAGCTAGAAATGTGCCTCCTCACTCATCATGTCAACACTGTGGAGAACTTTTTGCAGAGAATGTGAAGGTGACGTTGTAACCACTGTATAAGTATTTAGCTTCTGATTGATAGGCCACCAATTGAGGCACTGAAATTTGAGTTTATCCCATAAAGTTGAAACTAATTCAGTCCCTGATTGCATTTAAATCTGCATATCATGGGTTAACAGCATTGGGCAAGTAGCTAGATGAAGCCCAGTAATTGTAACTGTATGTCGCTTAGTGTATAGGGATTTTTGTGGTGGGAGACAGGGAATTTATATAGAGGATACAATTTACCAAAGAATGACTTCTTTACTTCTATGGACTAGCTCAACTACAGTATATACCTAGCTGACTTTTTGGACCATACTTCTATAGATTTTGTCCTCTTATAACATAAGTATGGATGCCCAGACAAGGTAAAGAACTGGATGTTAATGAAAGAGATGTATTCCATGGTGAATCAACTGCTTTGTAGTTTCTGACAGTAAGTGTACATTACTTTCAGTTGAAAAATAAAGTAATATTCGTGCAATGATCATTTTATTATCCAAGGTGTAATTTATAAAGGAGATTGTTTACGTACCTCATGTAGGTATATTGTGGCTCACAAGCCTAACAATAAAAATATGAGAGATGTTTGAAGTTCTTTTAGCAAAGCAAAGTAGAAATAAAACTCCAGAAAATTCTCAGCGTATTTTTCCCCTTCTGCATTAGAATAATATCCTTTTAAGATTGGTCTGCACATTTTATTTAAAAAGCTTCCAGAACTTCAGTGCTATTATCTTAGTGCTCCAAATAAAGAGGTTAAGGAGTCTGTGAACACACTGGTATTTTAAACAATAGTGGGTTCAATTAAGCCATTGCATATATGGGTGCAGCTCCATTGATTCAACTGGAGTTGTGTCCACTTACATCCAGGGCTGAATTTGGCCTGAAATTCACTGATAATCAGAAAAGTAACTGTGTGAAGGCAGCAGATTGCCTCTCTGTATTCTACAACCTCTCTGTTTACCCCTTAGTAACAAAAACACATTTATGCTCTACTTTTTTACTCCTGCTTGTTCTATAGAAATCAATGCAGATTTAGGAGGGGGAGCAGGATTCCATTTTGGCTCATTCATCATCAAGAGAATTAACTAAATTCCAATAACATAATCTTCATCTTGATATGTGTAGCCTTCAGCTCAGTTGTGCAATAACTATGTCTCTAGTGGTCACCATTCAATTACTGCAGCATTTTGAAACTGTTATCCATGACATTCAATATTAGGGTGACCAGATGAAATGGACAAAATATTGGGACACCTAGGGGAAGCAAAAAAATAAGAATAAAAAAAAACCGGCCGGAGCAGCAAGCTGCAATATCGGGACAAATGGCATCCTGACCGTGCATCGGTTGGGACGCGGGACAAAGAACTAAAAATTGGAACAGTCCCGATTTTATTGGGACCCTATTCAATATTCTACTACATACTAAGTACATTATAAATACAAGAAAGGGGCAAATGCCAAGATAAAGTGAATTTTACCTGTCAATGGTAATTGTCAAATTTTTTATGGCAGTCATTTTATAATATTCCTGAATTGGGTTAGGACTATTGCTGATGATGCACAAGCCATAAAAACATAGTATAATTCTCAGATCACCAATTGAGTTTTCAGGGCTGAGAGTTAGAGAAAATATTGTTCTACTTGTAAACTGAAATCTGAAACTGGGGTCATTGAAAGACAATAATCTTGGAACTGTGCAATACAGTTTTTACAGAATCCCCATTCTGAGTGGAATTATGCTTCATTCTTCTGTTGCAGAGTGTGAAGTACTTGTTAACTGGAACTGCCAGAGCCTGTTCAGCATGGCACCTTGCTTTGCTGGTGATGTCACATGCAGCACTGACTATAATTGGAGAATTGAACCTGTCTGTGGGGGCAAGGTATGTTCCATTCTTTTCCAGCAGTTCATGGTTTGCTAAGGTTCTTCATATTCATTTTTCTACTCAATAAGAAATAAGAGTAAAATATGAATTTTACTTTGGTCATAACAGTAGATATCTTACAGCTATAGGCAAGCTCCATTCTCCATTGCTACTCCGTGGTACATGTGACACTGCCAGCAGAGTGTATGCTGGAGTGTCACCACGGAGTTACAGCTGAGGGGACAATTCATGGACCACAACAGACATTAAAAATGGAAAAGGTATGTCTAAAATGCTGCCCTGACTTCCAAGCTGTCAGGATGCTTGGGCCTTCAGGCACCTGGTTCTCCACTCTGCTACATCAGTTTTACAAGGTTGTAACTCAACCGTGTAACAGAAGGGAGAATTGGGGCCGAATGAGAGGATTGTTTCCTTTGGAGAGAAAAATAGGTGGCTGTAACCCCTGTGATTCGTACATCTTAAAACATGTTTAGCTTCTGGTAGTTTTATACATTGCGTAGCTGCAGAAATATCACATTAAAAGTTACCAGCATGGTGCACCCATTCGTGGTCACAGTGTAAAACACACTTTATAATTTTAAGGATTCAGCGCCGTCAAGTTGTGCATACGATTAGTTTATGGAAACACACATTACTGGTGTTATCTTTGTCTCCCCTCCCCATTTCCATCCTATTGTTTCATTTGTTGAGTCTTGGCTTTGTTGTGAATCTGAAAGCTGTTTTGGGCAGGAAATGTGCTTCCTATTTATTTGTATAGCACGTACCATAATGGATTCTCAATCCTATTGGTTGCTACCAAAACATGATATAACGAGCAGGCAGGTGCTGGGGAGAATGAAGGAGGTTATAAAATGAGAGCTTGTGAAACTGGGGGTAGAGGGCGGGGACATGGTGTTACATGGTGAGAGAGCCAAGTGTAGGAGGAGAATTCAGTTCTAGGGTTATGGGGGAACATAAGAGAATATGACAGTATAGGGGTTCAATGTTGGGGTGTATATATGCATTTTGGATGTGATTCCCACATTTTGATAGATCAGTTCCCTATTTCATCTTGATACTTCACTGAGTACAATGGCTTCCTCTGGCACACAGCTTCATGATTCCATTGGCTATAGATTTTATATTGTGCTGAAGTTTTCCAGGTGTTTTAATTATTCTCGCATTTGGTCATCCCTGTCCTTACGTGCATTCATAAGCGCTTGATTATATCTATTTAATTCTGACTTGGAACTGCCTCTGTAATCCATTTTTGTGTGTTCAGAAGTAGTACATATGTTCTTTGATCTGTAAACGTCACAGCTAGTGTTGTTTCCTCATAGAACTTTTTCCAAGGATGTGGTTTTGGGTCACCAATTGTATTCAATTTTATTTGCTTGTATGGTGCCACAAGACATAAGGGTCAAAATAGTGTATTGAATAGAGATGCTGCCTATAGATAATAGTACAGTTTGCCATTTTCTTGTCTATTGATAAATTAGGTTTTAGTATCTATTGCAAGGGACTATGTTTGCTTGAACAGGAACTGCTCCATTAAGAATTTTGGCAGCACGCAAGCCGAGGAATCTAGGGCCAAATTCAAAGGTGACATAAATGGTGCTGAAAGTGACTTGTTGGAAAATGGGTGTAAATGAGAAACTGCAGGCCAAGCACAGAAGATTGGTGTTGTATTAAGTCAGGCAACCAACAGGAAGGTATAAGTAAATAGGGGGCCTATTTGATCTTAATTTGCTGTTGGTTGCTTTTTCCATTTTCTGCTGCCTTGGGGTGTAAGTCACACCCACTTTATTACATGTACCTAACGCCCACAATGTCATTACTTCTGAATTTTGTCACCCAGAGAATAGTTCCGCCATCCACTATTTCATGCAAAGGAATTTATTAATTATTGAGTGCTGCATTTTTGTTAACGAAGCCACATGAGAGCCCGTCCTCACTGTGCATGATTGCAAGGAAAAATGTTACATTTAGGGTCTAACATGTGGAACTCATTTGACTGCCTCTGTTGGCATTCAGGGGGAAATCTTGGCTCTTATGGTGAGGGAAAATGTGAGGAATTGAAGGTACCCTGCTTCAAGATGCTTCATTTTTACTTTCTCTGTGTGGTTCTGCACTGTGAATAAAATATAGGGGTGAAATCCTGTCCACATTGAACTCAATGGGAATTTTGCCTTCGAGTTTGACAGGACAAGGATTTCACCCTAGGAATCTGTTGGTTTCTACCAATGGAACTTTTTCTTTAGCTCAATTAAGCAGACCTCTTCCTCAGCCTTAGGTCCTAATGTCATCACCACCAATTCTGCTTCTTAGATCATTCTCTGACTGAACTTTGCATGTAATTGTTTCAGAGGTCTATGCTCAGATAGAAAAACATACGCGTAGAAATCCTTAAAGATCTCAATCCTGTCAGAGGAAATTATAGGCTGAATATCAGGAAATACATCCTGATGGGGAGAGAGAGAGAGTACAGTGGAATCATTTTCCAAAGGAAACGGTGGCTCTCCTACTGCTAGAGATACTTTAAAACTAGACTGGTCTCTGAAGACTAGAAAATGTACTGTAGGGAAGAACCTGGAACTTCCACAGGAAACACTAGATTACCTAATAGGTCTTCCTCTTCTGTTTCTAAGATCCTGAACTCTCTTCTTCATTGCTATGTAGAATATTTCTCCAGATGTCTTTGGTTAACTAAAACCTTTATTTTCTGGATTGGTAAGTGTTTGTTTATTCTCGGTAATTACCCTACCTTTAAAAAAAATAATTGGTATTGGATCCCATCACCATTACATTTGTTGCATATATGACATTCAGGTCCTATAAGACATCCTATAAAAAGGTATTAATATTCATACCTACTGCATCATTTCTCTTCTCCATCAGCCGAGTTTCTGGTTGAGCCTACAGAACTTCATGGTCAGAAACATTAGTGCTGCCCTAAATGACACTCTCATGTATCATTCCTGTCTACACAATGTTTTGTTAGTCACAAGTGTTGATATTTTGATTTCGTATCAGACCAAAACTCTGGTGGTAACTCTGCATGTGCTCCAAATTCTGGGGGGGTTTTTGTTGTTTTTTTTATTCCACCATCTCTGAGGCTCACTCACCTGGTTGGTGTACCCATTCCAATGAGAGACATTTCCTATTTTTTAGTGTAATTTGTGGTGCTTTCTGTTCTGGAATAATTAAGAAAAAATCTAGATAATCTTCAGTTTCCATTGGAATAGTTTGTGCCTGTAAAGCGTAGGCCTCAATAGCTTTCCCCCGGTGTATGGGGAGTCCTGAATAGCCTCTCTGAGATGTGCTCCAGCTGAAGTCTCCTTTATGATGCATCTGTAGCAGCTCTTTGCTTTGGACTTTTTCCTGCTCCCCTTGCACGGAGGGCCAGGGTGGCATCAAGGTGCTCCTCTTTTAGTTCTGCTGCTTCTGGTCCTTCATCTCTCTCATTTTATTTCTGCACACCAAGCAACCATGCTCTCCTACTTTTAAATCCTTCTTGAGTCCTTGCACTCATGCCTCATCTTGTCCTTTAAGTTAGTTCATGGTATGAAAAAAATAACTTAAAAAACCCCTTCACCTTGGAGAAAACAAGATGTGTGCCAACCATACAGGTTTCATCATTTGCTTCTGTATCCTTTCTCTCTGCTTCTTAGTCTGTTACTTTGTCTGCTTAGATGTTTAACATCTTTAGGACAGTTCTGGTATTCATTCAGAGCTATGTAAATTTTCAACAAAAAACTTAGTTAAATCTGGTTGTTCCTGTTACTTTTTGATCAACATGTTGAATCAATATTAAGCCTTTGTTTTGTTGCTTAAAATTGCCAATGTGTGTCAATTATTCAACTGAGAGATGCTGCAAACAAGACCCAAGTGTTCATTCCGTCACAGTAGGCTCAGATTTTCAAAGTAACTAAAGTGTTCCTGAGGTAGATAAGCATAAACTAATTTGCAAAAGATTGATATAAACAAATCTATCTCCACCCAAGATTTCACAATCATAAGAATATTTGATGGGGGGTGGAGGGTGGGAGGAGAGAGAACCATTTAGTGTGAATTGTAACTCAGTGAACATAATACATTTGGCTCCTCTTTCTGATTAGTACAAAGGACTTGATAAGTTGCACAATGTTCATTTTTTTAATTAAACATTTTATCATTGTGCAGCCTTTTATTGACATTCTTCATAATAGAGCTGATAAGATCTTGACCTAGTCTTCAGTAAAGTAACATATAACTCAATATTCTGGCACTCACTGTTCCCTTTAGAATTAAACACATGGGTTTCTGATTTTAATTTAAAACCTTATGTACTTTTATTCCCATTTATTTGTTTTACCTTCTCCGTCTTATAGCCTTGTGTGATTTATTTGCACTTTGGATACAACCATTTCTGTGGATCCCTATTTCTATTTATTTGGATGCTTAAGATACCATCTGAATTCAATTCCTTTTTATTATTCTAGAATTCTTTCCTTTTCTGCTCTATCAAAAAAGTAACCAACAACAACAACAAATCAAATACACCCAAAACAACAAAAAACAAACCACAAAACAGTAGCTTATCCTCTAACCTTGCTTCATACGGTACCTATTAAATCCAAATTTGATTTGTTAAACTAGCTTGAGTCATTTCTGCCAAGTGAAACGTCTTGAGAAGCTTCATGACAATATGCTTATGAAAATGTTGTTGCTAATGATGCACTGGAAAGCTATTCTACCTCCTGTGACTGTAAAACACTCTAGTATGTAGAGCTGCCAAGTGTCTTGTAACTTTCATGACAGTCACCTGTTCAGCTGCCCTGTCACTCATTCTCTCAGCCCAGCTTGATTCTCACATTTCCAGCTGAGCTGTGGGAAGGGAGCAGGCATTTGCCTCCAGTTTTGCTCTTTGACTTCTAGAGACTGCTGTGGTGTCTGCTGAGCAGGTAGAAGTGGCAGGAGGTGGTGGTGGCTGGAGAAGAAGGTGGAAGTGGGGGCAGATGTACAAGTCAATGGGATGA